TAGAAAGTGTATTCAGATGAAATAAGCGTAGCTTTGATTGCTATTTGAGGGAGGCATTAAGTACAAGCTTAGAAGAACATCATCTCATCTCATCCGTTACTGATGAAGGAAAAGAAGAGTGTTCTGGATGTTTTGACAATACCAGTTTGGCCAATTGGTTCCTAACCAAAATTATAAATCTGTATATAATGACTAAAGCGAACAGTTAAATGTATATAGGAGTATATTTCGCATTTAAAATGTTACATTAAAAAAGCTTGTCATGTTGCAATGTATCCGATCTGTTTAAGTAAATTTCAAGAAATTGTCGATAAAAAACAGAAAACATTGAAGAAAAAATGTATAGCTGAACATGCCAAACAAATAAAAAATTGAAATGAGAAAAAAATCTAAACCGGTGAAACATGTTTTCGATCATGTATTTTAGCGAAAATCGTCGAAAAAGAATTTTCTGTCACGAAAACAATTATCACACAAACTTACAGTTCATCTCTATTCCTTATTTACGTACACATTGTCATATTCTATCATATTGCATGAAAAATATACAGAAAAATAACTCATTGGCTTAGCAAAAAAATCTTGTAGCTAACTTTCTGCTAGAGTATATACTGTCATTTAGAGCAAAAAAATAGAAACTGAAGTAATCACCAATTAGCATCTTTAACTAATTATCAAAAGCTTATCATTCAAAACAATCAAACAACGGAGGATTATCGGTAGGGAACAAGCCTTCAGCTTGCCTATTTTACTATCGAAAGACGTTTTTTTTGTTTTCGTTTTTATCAAAAGAAAATACTGAAATAAAAGAAAGACAATATAAATAAATATAAAATATGGACGGATAATATGTTTTAGTCTATAACTTTTCGTTCTTTTCTTTTGTTGTCGAATGAAAAGGCAGAAAAATATTGCTTTATGGAGTTACAAATCATCAGGATATAAAGTGGGTATTCGTTTTCTTATTGTCGATGTTGTTGATTGAATGATATGAGGGAATATTGTTTCATTATTGCTGATTGAATCAGCATCAGTGCAAAATAATGAACGTGGTACAAAATAATCAAGCGCACCAATCTGAATCAGAACAAAATACAATGTTTAAATACGTGACATGCAACATATATTCAACTCATAACAGTACTAGAATAAAATGTCTTACCACTGATCTTGGACAATTTTGTCTTGCATACCATTCAATTGAATACAGACACATTTGCATACCAAGACCAACGAACAATGAAGCCCATATGAAGACATTAAACGCATTGTTATTTGTTCGTTGTGGAAGAATTAACATTGAAATAACTAAATGCAACAACAAGCAAGCAATCTTAAATATTGATAAGATAACGAGTCAATCAATGCTCACATCCTAAGATGGCAAATTGTAAAAATAATATTGGATAAAAATATCCGAATGCCAATGTTAGAATATATTCATGAACGCATGCGCTTAGAAATATGACAGCATACATCGACACAAGACGAAATTTTACACCCAGTAACTAAAAAACAAAGAACAGAATATAATAAGTTGTCGTCATTTCAACGTCTAACAGTCGCCGAATATTGATTAGAATGATTTATTGTTCATTCTGTAGATGGTTCTCTTATTTAACAAACAATTTAGCGAGCTAAAAACTGATAATAATTAAAAAACAATCAAAGTTAGTTGAACGTTACCTGATGACAGTCACGATAAACATAAGTATACAGCCAGTCATGTACAACTATATTCCATGTACGATAGTAACTGCTCCATGACGTAGCCGTCCACCAATCCTAAAAATAAAAATAAAACTATTATCACACAATTGATTCTATTTCACTGTTTCACTATACACTATAAAATTGTCTATCTCCAAAACGTAACATTTCAGCAAATGCATTCAACCAACAATGTAAAAATCCATAAAATGCTAGAATAAGACAACAACATAATAAAAGTTGTTTGCGTGTATAATAAAAATATTATACCACAAAATAATAATAAAGCAGCTGGTAGTGTACAGTTGAGTATTGACAAAACAAATATCTTTAAAGTAACATGTTCGGATTTAAATTGTTTGAATACCGGTAAACAAAAGCGATAAAATAAATAATAGGCAAATATGAGACTAACGATGAATTGTACGAGTTGTGATAGAACATAATTCCATCTTGTTGAGGATGTTCTAAAAATCGATTATTAATTATTAAATCTTTTTATCACAAAATAAAATCCTTATTTTTCTTACCGTGGATATGAATCACGATAAAGTAATGTTGGTGCAAATATAAAGTATAAAAATTTTGAAAATTCAGGACACGGAGTAGAATCTGTTGATAATAACTTATGTTTACTTGATTCATCCAATACTTCATCTTGCAACTCTGCATTTTTAACTATGAAAACAAGAAGTCTTAGATAAATTAATATTGGTTATGATAAAACTACATGCCGGACAAAACTTACTTTTTTTTGCATAAATATTTCCATATACGATTGCACGTGGAGCATTTTCTCTAACAAATGCATGAGTTTTCATAAGTAGGCGAACCTTCAAGAAAATTGTAAGTAATTTTAACAAAAATAAAATGAAACTAACTAACTTGTTCAATTAATACAATCATCCTTGTCACAATTGGATAATTATCACGTAATAAAATATGAACCGGAAAATAGAGGAATAAAGACACATAGAGACAATAACCAAAAAAACATAACCAATCAAATACAACTAAAACAAAATAAAAAAACTCAGAATATGTAAGCGTGAACATCTATAAAACGTACGTAGAGATGTGTTTCTTGATGATTTCTTTGGTAAACTATCATTTCCCCGAATAAAACTTAATCGTTGATATGACCAAAAATGAAAACAATAATAAACAGCACAGGTCGAAATATTCATGCACAACCAAAGTAATACACAAGCTGGTAAATTTGAAAAATTCCACCGAATAACATCAAACCGAAAATCGACTCTAAACAAAAAATAAACATAAAGAAGAAATGACAGTTAATTTTTATACAATATTCTACATACGATCCAAGTTCGAATAAATCTTTGCATGCCACTTGCAATACTAATATGACTAAAATAGATATGAATATTTGGCGAATTGAACGTATATGAGATACTTCTAATAGTTCCGTTAGAATTGATGGGCGTATTCGGAATGTTTTTACTGGAAATTGTGTGTTTTGTCTAAATTAATAAATAAAACTAATCATTTTCTATAACAGACAATATTATTGTTACTTTTTCTGTTGAATATCAGTTGTATCTAATAACAACGGTGCTATTGGTTTGGATAAACCATCTAATGTATTTTGTTTTGTTTCACTGATAAATTGTTCAAAACGATGATTCATAAAATGCATCATTTCAGAGCGTAAACGCTGTTAAACAGAATAAACAATAGTATGTTTTTTTTACAAGTAAAGATTTCCAAAATTTCGCCTACTTCAATCGAATTTTGAAGTTCCAATGAATGATCGTGTCGGTTAAATTCAGCACTTGCCGATCGTTCTATGAAGATAGAAAACTATGAGTGAATATTAATTATATCGATATCCTCTCAAAACACATTAATTACCATGTCCTCGACGTTCCATTTCGAAAAACAAATAGGAATCTGAAATAGAAAAGTAATCTATAAGCATATTGATCTTTTCATTTAGAAACGAATTTATAGTGACAATGTAACTTCTACGAAAGACAATCAAAAGATAAAAAGTTTAATAAAATGTTCCTTTTTAACTGTCCAATGCCGTGATGATTCCTCTGGGTAAGAGATCAGAAGAAATTTTAGGAAGAAAAGAGATTATTAAAGAGAAATTGGTGTGCTCTCGGCACAGTAAACTGTCACACGGCGATAAAAGTTTTGTTTTCAAAAATCCAAAAGAAGGAGATACGCCAGTGCCGTAGCCAAGATTTTTGGAGTGAGGGGATCAAATTTCATTTTATTGATTTAAAATCGAAAAAATAGGGGGGAGGGATCGATCCCCACAATCCCCCCCCTGACTACGTCACTGAGATACGCAGAACAGAAAAAGAAAAAAGTTTTGTGTAAATAAATACGAATAAATAGTACAATTTCCAAATGCAAATACAGTGTCCAAAACATGAATATGGACTGTTAGGCGTGAATTACCAACATCTGGTGATCATGAGCCCATATGTATGTGAGAGAAAAAATGTGTTCTGAAGATGGAAGCTGTTTGTCTTTCCTTTTATTTGTATAAAACAAAAACAGATGATTGTTATAGATCTAGATGGAAATAATATCCTTATTTCATGAACTTTTTCATTTTTTGTCAAGAAAGGGAATGCATTATTACCTTCAGTTTTTCCTTTTCTATGTTCTGGTAAAGTTGTACAGATAGTGGAAAATAGTAAATATATCAGAACCTCGAACATATTATAATAGAGTAAAACTAGAAACGAAATCCTATTTGCTCCTATAAAATCTTATAATGAATTGTTAACCTTTAAAACATGAAAAAGTGCAACAAATCAATCCTTTTTTCCACCTGCAAGCACACTAAATGTGTGCTTACGATCTTTTCGTCTCTTTCTAGTTGGTTAATAGAAAAAAATACGGAAGATGTAATTTTTACGTTGTAAAAATATAGGTCATCATGTGGTTTATTTTTCACTCACTTAGAGGCATCGTAAACAAGATTGTCAACTGGGAAAGACAACAGTATTAAATGTTGTGACAAAAATTTTATAAAATTTTAAAAAGTGCAGTCAATACTTTGTTCCTCCCGGTTGACAAATCAGACCGTAAATCATATTTCAAATCTATTTGTAAAAGTGATACATACGAACTGTATCGTACTGGATAAAGTATAGCCTATTACAGTTAATTACAATGCTAGTGGCTCACCTTTTACATCTGCCATAAATTAATTTGACTAAAAGTGCTGTTTAGTTGCACTGACACATGTACGTGTCCAGTCGGAAGATGAGACATCAAGCGTTTCTTTCGTTCTTCAATTACTTTTATTGGGCAGTAGATGACGTGTAAAATAAAGAAAGTTTCCCCTACAAGTAAGAACGAAAAAAGAGAACGCTAGCTGACTACAAAAACATATAGAGAACAACATTGTCTTGGGTTGTGATTCTAGAAAATAGCAGCAATTAACAGTCGAATCGAATGTTCTTAGATTTACTGAAATTTTATGTTAGCCATTAAAATTTCTTATTATCGGATTTTGTGCATCTGACTTAGGGTGTTTCCACTCAGGTCCCCTATCATTACATGTCATAAAGCCGCAAAAATATCGATACTTCTTTCGTGTAGGAGATAAAAAAATTGCAAAAATTGCAGAAAAGCCCCCACTCTCCCGTGCAAAAGTCATATTCTACATGCCTTATTATGGACGTCAAGTTTCAATCATCCCTCTAATAGAAGCAACTTTGACCTTATTTTTCTCTGTAGCGACAGAGCTTTTACCACTGTTAAACATACCACACAAAAAAGCAGCTCGAGTACTATAAGCACTGGTATTAAAAACGTGTGCTATTACTCTCACAGGAGCATGGCAACTGTCGCAAAATGGCTGAAAATGAGAAAACAGCATTCAGTAATTTACCCGTTCTGAACGCAAAACAACACGAAAAGTTCTTTTATTATAGATGAAAACGAAGCTGAAGAGCTGCCTAATCTAATGGAAAAAGAATTAACGCACGGTATCTCAAGGTATCCATCTTTGAAGACTCCATTTTGGAAATAGCCAGTTTTCGGTTCCTCTAGCTCAAAAAGGCTTCAGTCGAACTTTTTCATTTTACTCTTATTTGTAGTACTCATAAAACCCTGCGGTCTCCGATGGCTTCCATACTGAAAGAGAAAAATAGGTATTGAGTTAATTCTTTTCCCATTAGATTAGGCAGCTCTTCAGCTTCGTTTTCATCTATAATAAAAGAACTTTTCGTGTTATTTTGCGTTCAGAACGGGTAAATTACTGAATGCTGGTTTCTCATTTTCAGCCATTTTGCGACAGTTGCCATGCTCCTGTGAGAGTAATAGCACACGTTTTTAATACCAGTACTTATAATACTCAAGTTGCTTTTTTGTGTGGTATGTCTAACAGTGGTCCAAACTTTTTTCGTCGAAAAATATTTTATCAGAATTATTTCATCGAAAAGTGAGTGTATCGAAAAAACGTTTTTAGTGTATTCAGATTGCTATAAAGATGTGAGTAGTGTCAACTTCCACAATTCGGTAGAAGTTCCAGACTTCAGCCAAAATAGTTTAAATTCCACTCGCTCTCACACTGTAGCATCCCACGCCACCATAATTAGATAA